TGTGCCTGTAGTCCCAGCTGCTCAGGAGGCTGAGACAGGAGAATCACTTGAACCCGGGAGGCAGAGGCTGCAGTGAGCCGAGATCGCGCCACTGTACTCCAACCTGGTGACAGAGCGAAAAAAACAAAACAAAACAAAACAAACAAACAACAGGAAAAACACGTTCCCGCCATTTAGTATATATCAACAGCAGGTGCTAACAGCTGTCGAAAAATAAATGAACAGTTTAGTGATCTTCCATGGGCCATGGAAAAGTCAAGATCTACAAAGTGCTCTGCCTTCCACTTGCCCCCTTTATTGCTGCAAAATTTCCAGATGACTTGTCAATTTATAACTAGTCTTTATTTTCAGATAACCTGAAAGTTGGATGGGGGAGGGGTTCCAGAAACACCATCAGCTGTTCTGAGTGGCCTCTTCCATGTCTAGGAAACTGTACAGAGCACTGAAGGCCATCAACACAAACAGATCTGGGCTTAAATCCAACTTCTACCATCTACTGGGTATGTAATCCTGAAGAAATAATTTAGCCTCCCTGATACTCAGTTTCTCATGTGAACAATAAAGAAAACAGCACGTGCTTGACAACACTGTGATCATAACAATGCACAGAAAACACCAGCTCATTGGATATTGGTTCCTTTCACTTCAAGTCATTACCCATGAAGGAAGAACTGGGAATTAAGTCCAGATGTTATTCTGTTCACAGTATCAGAAAAAGGAAACACCTCCTGCTTTAGATGACTAGCACTGAGGGAGATATGGGCAGTGAGACCCGTGTGGCTACACAGCCAACTTGTGCTATGGAAACTGCCACCAGCAGCTCCCAACATGGGCCCAGGCCCTCTGGCATGGCTGTAGAAGCCATCTGTTAGATCATGGTCAAGCCAACAGGATCACTGCATTGGACTCTATCCTGTAGCCAGAAAGAATTCATCTGAGTCCATTCTAGCAGGGTTTTCCTTGTTGTACCTTGTAGTTCAGGTTAAATGGCAGATTGAGAGAGCTTGGTGGAAGCCCTAGGGACAGCAGCAAGTTGATAAAACACTTGAATCAACTCCTAGATTCCGTTCAGAGTTGGTTTTTTCCCTGATGAGCTGATAGGCCCCAGGAAGACCCACTGGCATCTCCAGCCCTTTCACAAAAACAGGCAGGCCCACTTTTGGCCTCGAAGGCAACCTACACACATAGAGGAAGAGATCATATCCACACAGAGACATCCAGCAGGTCAGGAAATGGAATCTGGTGAGCACCTTAGAACCTCAAGTCAACAACAGAGTCATCAGCTTTCTCTACTGAAGGAACAGATACCACTTCAAAAAGAGCCTCTTGAGTGTATCTTTTTAACGGGCATTAATAAAATCCCATAGGGCACAAAAAGAAACGTAATTGAGTAGGATTCCCTATTTGCCCAAACATCAAAGAAGTGAAAAGCCCACGGAAATACAAAAACTGATCCTGTAGGATCCTCAGCTCCTCAGGATGCTGAAGTACTGAATACTTGTAACCTACAGCTTGGCACTGCATTGGGATTCCTCGCTCACTGCCCCTCAGAGTGGGTGTGGAATCAGACGGGATGTTCTAATGTCTGCATCATTGAGGGCATCTAGTCCAGCGTCCCCACAGTCACCGTAGCTGACGTTCTGGCTGTACTGGTAGTAGCCAGTACATCATACACACTTTCTTTAGACTCAATTTTTCTTTCTTTCTTTTTAAATAGAGACAGGGTCCTGCTAAGTTGCCCAGCTGGTTTTGAATTCCCAGTCTCAAGTGATCATCCTGCCTCGGCCTCCCAAAGTGTTGGGATTACAGGCGTAAGCCACTGTACCTGGCCTCAATTTTTCTTTTCAATCACTGGCAAGAAACATCCTGCCAAGTTTTTCTGATATGTACTTCTTCCATTCCATTCTTTGAAAGAGTGATTTGAGAGCCTCTTTGGAGACCTAACCAAATGCAAGCATGTAAAAGATAAGGTACCCAAAGACTGCTGGAAAGAAACACACTATTAGGTTGGATTATAAGAATAGCCAACATTCAGCCCTTTTTTAGATACAAAAATGGCAATTTTATACCATTCAACCTAACTTCTACCAAGTAGCTTTCTGAAATGTTTAGAATTGCTGACTATATGATCTCAGAACCAGTTATAGGCCATTGCTTCAGCTAAGGAGACATCGAGGCACCAAGCCGATGGGCTTCTGCATCATCAAAAAGACTGACCGGGCACGGTGGCTCACACCTGTAATCCCAGCACTTTGCGAGGCCGAGGCAGGTGGATCACCTGAGGTCAGGAGTTCCATACCAGCCTGGCCAACATGGCAAAATCCCGTGTCTACTAAAAATGCAAAAATTATCTGGGCGTGGTGGTGGACACCTGTAGTCCCAACTACTCAGGAGGCTTAGGCAGAAGAATCACTTGAACCTGGGAGGTGGAGGTTGCAGTGAGCCAGTGAGCCAAGATCATGCCACTGCACTCCAGTCTGGGTGACAGAGCAAGACTCCATCTAAAAAAAAACAAATAAACAGTATTCTAGGCCATAAAAGTCATCTTAATAGATTTGAAAAGACTGAAATGTTAGTCTCTAACCACAATGGAACTAAGTTAGAAATAAACAACAACATGACATCTTTAAAAAGTCCTACTGACTTACTTCTAAACAACCCACAGGTCAAAAACCACCAAAAAAAAAAAAAAAAAAAAAAAGGAGAAATTATTTTGAACTGAAAGAAAATACAGCATATCAAAATGTATGAGATGCAGTTAAAGTAGTACTTAGAGGAGAATCCTTACCTTTAATGGCTATGTGTGGAAGTAAGAAAGATCTAAAATCAGTGATCTAAATTTCCACTTTAGGAAGCTAGAAAAGGAAGAACAAATTAAAGCCAAATTAAGTAGAAGGAAAGAAATAATAAAGAAAAACTAGTAAGACAGAAACAGACAAGAAATGGGAGAACAGGGCAAACACCAGTGTATTGTAAAGATAGATAAAAATCAATAAAAGTTTAGCCATACTGATTAAGAGACATGAATTATTAATATCAGCAATTAAAGAGAGGACATCACTTCAAAGCCTACAGACATTGAAAGGCTAATAAGGGAATTCTACAAACAACTTCATAGACTTGACAGCTTAGATCACTGGGCAGCAAACTCCCTGTGGGCCAAATCTAGGTTGCTACCTGTTTTGATACTTCTACTGGAACACGGCCAGGCACATCTGTCTACATGTTGTCTCTGAATGCTTTTGCAATATAACCACAGGGTAGAATAGTTGCCACTGAGATCACATGGTCCACAAAGTTTAAAATATTTACTATCTGACCCTTTATGGAAAAGTTTGCTGACTTTTAGATTAGATGAAATAGACAATTCTCTGAAACACACAAATGCCAAAACTGATTCAAGAAGAAACAAAAAATCCGGATACCTCTCTATTAAAAGTATTGGATTTGTAGTTAAAAACATTCCACAAAGAACTCCAGGTCCAGGTGGCTCTTTGGTGAATTCTATGAAATACTTAAGAAAACACTAATACCAAGCCTACACAAACTCTTTCAGCAAACAGAAGAGGAAGGAACATTCCCCAATTCATTCTATGAGGCCAGTATTACCCTCATACCAAAATCAGAGAAAGATATTCCAAGAAAAGATAACTGTGAAGATAAGAAACCAGCCTCTAAAACTCCACACATAGCTAACCTATCATATTCTGATGGAAAGTTAAAAACAAAACAAAGCCAAAAAAAAAAAAAAAAACCAACCAGGTTTGTGCCAATATCTACAGAGATGGAGATAAGATGGCTTGGAAGAAATACATCAGTAAAACTGAGTTCCCTGTTCCCCTCAAGATACACAGTAACGGAAATATCTTCAATTCCTATTGCAGAGGGAGTACCCCCAACCAGCCACAGCTTCTAAGGCTTCTGCCCCGTCAACAGTTGCTGCAATAAAACAGAGCACTAAATGTGTGGCCCCTTGGCCTTACCTCCATTCTGACTTGCAACACAGAATAAAGCTATTGCTGTGTCTTTAACATCTGCCATGGCAACATGGCACTAATATCACAGGAAAGGCCCCAAGTATCAAACAGACAGGTTTTTATAAAATTCAACCCAGTGGTACGAACTTTCATCCATTCTTTCCAAGCTCACGAGTGCCCAGGCCAGTCACAGTCATGCACATCTGTTGGGGTCTGTTGAGGGTGACAGTCTGCTGGGAAGGAACTGGTTCATATGGTGACTGTGTCCACAGCAAAATGCTTTGGGTTCTGAGAGTGCACCTGGTTTCTTCAAAACTAAGCACTTGCTGAGTACTAATGAAATGGACCCCCACTCTGGCAGCCTTCAAAACTAAAGAGAGGTCCCTTTAGAGAACAGCAAGCAGTACATGGTTATCTTACCTGAGGGGCAGGAGAGTACCCCTATTCTCTGGGTTCTATGGTGTTCCTCCTCCTTCCCTGTACTGCCTACTAAAGCCTAGAGCCCAACAGAGGACTCTACAAAGAGACAGGGAGCTTGACATGGCTGAGGTCTCCTGAGTCTTCCCACTCAGAATGAATGAAACCACTGTGTGGATTTCCCAAGAGATCATCCCAGACGAGCAGTGTTAACTGCAGAGATCTCTGAGGGAAGCCCTCTTCAAAACTGACATGCAAGAGACAGGAGGCTGGTATACAACCCTACCCGAAATTTTGTTTTCTTGTTTATTTTTTACCTTCCCCACCTGAATGTGAGCTCAAGGGCAGAGACTTTTCCCTTCTTAGTCACCACCAACCATAACCCAGTTGACTGGGCACAAAGTAAGCATTTGATAAACCCTTGCTACAGGAGTGGCTACCGGGTGCCCATCTGATTTCAGTGCCGAATACCGATGACCTAACGTATGTGATTAGAACCTTCACGAAGCGATCTTGCCCAAGGAAGGTTCAGTGTTTGCAGGTAACCTAGCAGAGAGATGGCTTTTAAAGTCACAATGGCTTTTAACAGGAGATAAGTCAACTCACAGCTGGCGTGCGAGCGGCTGTCATCCTCACACATTTTGTGCAGCTGCTGGTATTCCTCCTGGGCCAGCTCAAACCGCTGTTGCTTAATCTGGTAGATTTCTTTCTTGGCATTGAGAGCCTCCTGGGCTACAATTAAATATTCCTTCAACATGCGCTCTTGCTCTCGCCTCCACTGTTCTCTTGGATCCTCAATCTGGGTAAGTTCTGAAATTTAAAAAGGTTAAAACATAAGTGACTTAAAAGTAAAATCCTTAGGTGGACCAACAGTCATGCAGTGATGTCAGTCGTCAATGTGAAAATTAATTCATTACCAGGATGTATATTATGGAAGATTTTATATCACGAACCTTTCCAAAGCGTGGAACACTTTCTATTTTTATATCCATAGTCCAGATGAGAAGGAAACTCTACAGATATGAAACAGTCCATTGGAGGAGGGAAGACAATACAAGACGATGTTTTCACCAACAAAGACCACACTTTAAATAAGCACGGGAGGAGATGAACCCACGTGAGCTCAGAACTGTGACACTAATTGCTATTTATGACCTTCTCTTCATTGACTCCTTCTGCGTGAGATGATGGAAACTCTTGTGTGTCCCGGACCTGACTGGCCCCCTTCTTTCATTTCCCAGACCAGACTGTGTAGTCTTTTCCCATTCCTCGCTGACTTCCTTGTCCCATCCCACCATAGCTTCCCTCATGTTCACTCCTGCTTCCTCCCTGTCCAGCTCTTCAAGGGCCTGTGCCTAACTCCAGCTCCAGCCTCTCTCCCCAGCTCCAACCTTTCATTCCCACCTGCCTCCTGGATGCACCTCCACATGGATGGACCCAAAGTCACTCCTAGCCATTCATCCAATGCAGCCCTCATTCTCCACACCACCTTTCCCCATCAAGAGCAAAACCAAACCAAACACCACACAGCACACGCCTGCTTCTCCTGTCTTCCCCTTGCAGGGAGCCGCATCATCTGGATCTAACTGCGGAGCCAGCCTGGGGGTACAACCTGGGACTCATCCTCAAAGAATCCCACTCCTCTTCCTCCTGAAACATTCGGTGGGTTATGAAGAACTGGAGGTCCCTGCCCCTGGATATGATAATCATTGGTGACACGCCCTTGTCTCTGTCTCTCCTTACTTCAGTCAGACTCTCGGGACCTTCTGGTCTCATCCCACCAAAACCCATCCTCAGAGCACTCTCCAAAGTGACCTTTCTAACTGGGATGCAATGCTTTCACACAGAAACCTCTTTGAAAGCACAAAGTCGGCTGGGTGCGGTGGCTCAAGCCTGTAATCCTAGCACTTTGGAAGGCCAAGACGGGCGGATTATGAGGTCAGGAGATGGAGACCATCCTGGCTAACACGGTGAAACTCCGTCTCTACTAAAAAATACAAAAAAAAACTAGCCAGGCGAGGTGGCGGGCGCCTGTAGCCCCAGCTACTCCAGAGGCTAAGGCAGGAGAATGGCATAAATCCGGGAGGCGGAGCTTACAGTGAGCTGAGATCCAGCCACTGCACTCCAGCCTGGGCGACAGAGCGAGACTCTGTCTTAAAAAAAAAAAAGAAAAAAAGAAAAAGAAAGCACAAAGTCCAATCTCCTTAG